TGATGCAATTAATTTTTGTGTATTTTCCATCAGTTCATGGAGCAAAAGGACAAATAAATGCTAGATAGAGTGCATGCGCCTTTTTTTTTCTCATCGGTCAAAGTTATGAATTTATTTTCTAAAAAAAGGGAGGTGCAAAATCAAAATCCCAATCCAACACATGGTCGATGATTTGGATTTGTTGTTTGTTTGTTTTCGTTTTTATAAGGTTGGTCACTGTACTAATTGGGTCCAAAATTGTTGACTTCATTGTAGGGGTGTTAGTTAAACGGGTCCACCCGAAAAACCGCCCGACCCGAATTGAATTCATGTCAAACGGGTCGGATTTAGGGGTAAACGGGTTGGTTTTCGGTTTTAACCGAATGAAAGAGACGGTTTTTTGGGCGGTTTTAGGTTTGGAATTTTAGTTTGGAGACCCGCCTGAAACCCGAACTAATTTACTGTATTACTTAATTTTTATACTTATTTTTACGGAAGTATAAATTGATTTTACATTTTCTAACTAGGGTTTCAGTTTCACTACTTTCACTTTTACTCTACATCTCCACCGGCCGCTTCTTTTCTCTTCTCTCTCAAAGCCATGGCCGCCGCCCTTCACCCTTAACCTTGACCAGCAAAAATCATCCCCCACTCCAAAATCGATTTCAGATCTACCTCACAAGAGTCACAACCCTTAACCTGGGCTGCATCTCTTTAATTTTTTCCGATTGGCAAGTTTAGAATAGTCATTTGTTGATTGTAGATCCGGTCAGTCGGCTCTACACTGATCATTCGCTTACGATTGTAGCTCCACTCCGGTGAATCGGCTCCGGCACGCGACGCCTCCCTCTCAGATCTCAAGGTTGGTTGGCATGCCATTCTTTCTTGTCTGAAACACTTTCTTTCTGACGGTTTTGGCCTTTGGGCCTTTGGCGAAAGAAAATCTTTTATTCTCTTGTTATTTCTTTACAAGAAAAATTATTGATTAGTTAATTAGATTACATGGATTATCACCTGAGATTTCTTGTAGTTGTTAGTTGTTACTGTAGGTTTAATATAATAATTTTTCTGTATTTTTTGGTTTCAGATGTCTACTTTGCCGAGTACTGATGCGGTGATGATTAATTTAGAATTTGTCAATGATGCTGATGTGAAATGAGAAGATGTCAAGCTAGACGGTGATGGGCAGTCACCGAAGTCACCAAAGACACGAAGAGGTCGCCAAAGATCTATGGTTTGGGCTCATTTCAAAACTTTCACAAATAAACAAGGTGAGAGAAAAAGTAGATGTCGATATTGTGGAAATGAGTACCATTCTGAAACAAAAAAACATGGAACGAGTACCCTTAAGGCACATTTGACATCTTGTAAGAAAATGCCTTCTAATATGGATTCAAAGCAGACACAGTTAGTACTTGAGGGTGGGATTGATGAGGGTAATGTGCATGTTGGGGCCTGGAAGTATGATGATGATGAAGTTTATAGGGCACTTGCATATATGGTTATTGTAGATGAGCTGCCTTTTAAATTTGTGGAAAAAAAAGGATTTTTATACTTCATGCGAAAATGTCAGCCTTTGTTTGTTCGTAAGGGTAGGCTTACCATTGCTAATGAATGCTACAAGTTGTATTTGGATGAGAAGATTAAGCTTAAGGCTGAAATTAGAGATAATATTGGTAGAGTTTGTTTAACAACCGATACATGGACTTCTTTGCAAAAAGTGAACTATATGACTCTCACTGCTCATTATATTGACAATGATTGGAAATTAAGAAAGAGAATTCTGAATTTTTGTCCAATAACAAGTCATAAGGGAGATGATATTGGGAAGGCAATTGAAATGTGTTTGCTTGATTGGGAAATTGACAATGTTTTTACTGTCGCTATGGATAATGCTACTGCAAATGATTCAGCTATGAAATATTTGAAAGAACAGTTTGAAAATTGGGAAAAATGTATTTTGGGAGGAAAATGGCTGCATGTTCGTTGCATTGCTCATATCATGAATTTAATAGTTAAATCTGGTTTGGAACACATTAGTGTGTCTCATTGAAAGAATTAGGACTCTTTGTCAAGTATATTAGGCAATCTTCACAGAGAATTGAAAAGTTCAAAAAATTTGCTGAGATTGAAAAGTGTCAAAGCACTAAGAATCTGACCTTGGATGTGCCTACAAGGTGGAATTCCATCTATTTAATGTTGGAGACAGCTCAACCTTATGAACGGGCTTTTAAGAGGTATGAATCAACAGAGCCACAGTATAAAGAGACTCTTGCAAAGGTTGTTAGGCGCAATGAGGAAGGTGAAGAAGAAGAAACAGGGCCTGGGGTGCCTACTTCTATTGATTGGAATGAGGCCAAAATATTTGCAGGTATCCTTCAACCTTTTTATGAGTTTACTTTGAAAGTCTCTCAAACTAAATCTGTATCTTCAAACTTTTACTTTGAGGGTGTTACTTTCATTGAGGCTCTTTTAAGGAAACTTATCAATGAATCTGAAGATTCTAGCATCTCTTTAATGGCAAAGATAATGAAGGATAAATTTGATAAATATTTTGGCAATTTTGAATCTTGCAATATGGCTTTGTTTGTGGCTTGTGTTCTGGATCCTAGGAACAAACTTGAGTATTTAGAAATTGTTTTGAATGATGTGTATGGGAAAATAGATGACAAGTCAAGAAAAAACCAGATTGAATGTGAACTACATGACATGTATGCTGATTATGTGAAGATACATAACCTGGAACGTAGTTCACATTCTCCCCCTCCAGAGTCATCCCAATCTTCTTTGGGAAAAAGGAATTCGCCTATTGATGTACAAGCTTCAAAGATGTTGACAGAAAAGTTCAGAATGCAATTGAAGAAGAAGAAAATTGAGGCTGGTGGTATGAATTCAAAGTCAGAGTTAGATAAATACTTGAAAGAAGATCTTGAAGAAGATGATGGAAAGTTTGAGATTTTGAATTGGTGGAAGGTTAATAGTCCTAGATTTCCCATTCTATCTATGATGGCTCGTGATCTCTTAGCCATTCCTATATCAACGGTGGCTTCCGAATCTTGTTTTAGTACAAATGGAAGAGTCTTAGATGCTTTTAGAAGTTCTTTGACTCCGAAAGTAGTTCAAGGACTTATTTGTGCTCAAGATTGGCTCCGTGATCCTACAAAGAAGCCAGAGATTGTGAAGGTTGAAGAAACTTGGGAAGACCTTGAAACAGTGGTAAAAGGTAACAATTTAATAATTATAGAGTAATATTTAAAGTTAACTGTGTATTCCTTTTATTTGTTACTTACAATAACTTCTTTGGTTTTGTGTTTACCTACTGCAGATTTCATTCCAAAGGACAGTGGCATAAATTTAGATTTGCCATGATTCATTATCTTTCTGTCAACAGACAACAGGTGATTTTTCTCACTCTTGATTCTCTCTTCTGATTTGCCAGATTCATTAGAGATTTTGTTTACCTCTCTTCTGAGTTCTGATTTCATTCTCTCTTCTGCTTTTAGAAGTTCCAGGAAATTGGCTTAAGAGTTAAGACTATGAAGAAAAGAAGCCTGTTAATGTTATGTGATGACTGATGAGTGATGATTGCTTCATTTGCTTGCTTATCAAATTTAAAAGGGCCTTGCTGAGTTCGGAATGTGGAACTAAAAGCATCTAAGAAGACCTTGCTGAGTTGCTGTTGATGTTTTTCTTTTATTTGTTGTTGAAGGAAAACTTTAATTCCATTGATTCATCATTCATGTTGAAATTCGTGGCTGTTTTCGGATTGGAATTTTTAAGGCTTTGAATTGTATTTCGGATTCGGTTTGAACATTTTTTTTTTGTTGCATGACTTGTTGTATTTCGGATTCGGATTGGAATTTTTTAAGCCTTTGTTGCATTGCATTTGATTCGGTTTAATAGTAAACCGACCGACTAACCCGATCGGTTTTTCAGTCGATTCGGTTCGGATTTTTGTACTCTCGGTTCGGTTATTGGACGGTTTAAACAGTCTCAAAAACCCGATTTAACCGAACCGAATAATGGCCGAACCGACCGAACCGGCCGAATTAACACCCCTACTTCACTGTCTTTCAATATAGTCTATATAGATTTACCACAGTTTCACCCTTGTTTTTCGAAGCGACGAGCCAGAAAATGCGCTTCCTGTTGCCAGTTAAAAGGATTTTAAAATGTTTTCTACAGCCAATGAACATATCTGGGGTTGATCTACAATTTGAGTAAGAATGCATCTTCAGAATTACCACTTGAATCCTGTGCACTGACTTTCTATACGCACCAGTATCTGCTTCCTACTTTGACCAAAAAAACCAACCCTTCCTAGGCTCTGGAACTGCAACGGCCTCTTCATTCTTTTTTCTGTTTTCCATTCCTTGCTTCAGCGCCTGGAGCCTGTTCCTGTGGGGCATTCAAATTTTAAAAGATTTTATTTGTCAAGTAAGAATAGAAGTACCAAATATGGGTGGCGGCTCTTTAACAGAAACAGGGAGGAAAGTTAAGTCAAAGAGGGGAAAAAGAGAAGGAAAAAGGTCCCAACAATCTAAGATCATGCAAAAAGATGAATTCTGCTGGACATTCCAGAGGACAACAGTCAGGATCCCTAACATAATCTACCGCACCATCCTACACATGCAGAGACAAATAACGACATGCAGATGAATTATGCTGTACAAATTAATAAAAGTTCTACAAGGTATAGAAGAAAAAATGCTAAACCCAAGCAAGGAGTCCCAAAATACTCAAGTGTTTGCAGAATTCAAGTCCAAAGTATTATCTACATTCAACTCCCATTCTCATCATTGGTGAAGCCCAACATGTAGCTTCATCTGTGTGATCAAAGTGAAAATCACGTGCGGAAGGGTTCAACTTACAACCTTCACACAGAAATGTAGAGCTGAGTTCAATTTCATCAAAATCATAATGACCACTTGCAGACACCAATCATACTACAGGGAAAAGTAATAGAGCAAGTTCAATAATGCAGATATTCTAGCTTGACACAAGAATGAAGATAGTTCTTATTACTTGGTATCTGTAAGGCGACCGTGTAGACTCCATCTCTGCCGAAACCCTTCGATGCCTTCTACTCCACTAGCCAAAATCAAGCGCCTAAATAACAAGAATAAGAAATACATTTATCAGGACTTCAAAGTTATTCACTCATGCAATAAACTCATCTCCTAGTGGGGCAAGACTAGCGGGGTTTTTTTAATCTTCTTTCCCAAAATATCACGTACGAGGTGACTTTGATAAAATGAACAAGAGCCCTAAACTTATTTCAAAGGACATTGACTTGCTTCCTTAAGGCCTGTTACTACTATTAAATCTTTTTCCAGGTTGAAGGTTGATTGGAATCCATATAATACAGGAAAATCGGAATGATTAAATCTATGCTCAATAAGAGAAGTCTGCTATCCACTTTTTTGCCCCTAGTTTAAGGATCACGTATCACACCCAAACCATCCCTTTCCAACATCTGAAAATTCGTACGAGCCCACTATGAAAATTAGTTGACCTATTTGCATTGAAAATGTATAGCATATTTGCTGACAAGAATGAAGAGTATAATTACACCATGTCATTACGAATCCACTTTTAGTTAGGTAGAAAGTACCAAAGAAAACTATAGTTACACACCATGTCATAACCAATTCACTTTTAGTTAGCTAGAAAGTACCTTTCCAATGAAGTTACTTCCGATTCGAGTTGGGTAGCTCTTTCTGTTACTTCTTTTAACGGCATTGACATCCCTAGTTTGCTCTCACTGTCTTGCAATCGTTTCCTAAGTTCTTTGTCCTTGAAACCAAAAAACAAAATGGCAGTTTATAGCCACATTCCCCAAAGGAAATACATACAACTTCTGAATCTAAGAAAGTTAACATAATAAACGGAAATGCTGAAAAATCAAGCACGTAATTTTCATCATCTTACCCTTCTCTCTGCACATTCCCGGTAGAGAGCAATCTCATCTTGACAGAAAGGTTCAATATCCTTTATCTGTAAGCCTAAAGAAGAGGAGAAAAAAAAATAACTGGTCAAGTACTAGAGAAACAGGTGCAGATCCCTCCAGAAAAATCAATAGAGAAACTTACACAGGAATAGGTTCCTCAGAATTCCATCACATAAGTCTACACCTTCAAGTACATGAGAAGCAATTTCTGGGGGAATGATTGGTGAGGGTGGCCCCAACATCAAGTCTTCACCCACCAGAATTGTTTCCTCCATGGTTGGCTGTGAATCGACTAGAACCCCCAAAAGGAAACAAAAGAATAAAATATAAGTGAACTGTTCAACTATTTCCTGTGGTGCCATGAAACACACATATGCGAACATCACAACAACAAAATGCTAATCATAATCACAAATCTTGGACAATGCTTGTCATATGAAAGAATGATGATTTGAATATGAAATTTGGTCGACAAATCATAGAAGCAAAATGATAATTTCCAATCCAAAACATAACTAGAAAGAAACGATACAGCCCCTATATTCTAATGCAGCCTCTATATTACAAAAAGAACATAAATTATCAGTCGATAATTTACAAAAAGAACATTATCAGTCGATATTAACATGGAGAGAGATAAATTTCTTCCTAAATATCTACTCTCTCTGCTCCCAGTACTTAAAACATAATATTAACAAAAAGCTGTGCAAATTTAGTCGAAAAAGTGCAACTAACAAGCTAAAGTTTCTAATACATACATAGTACGCACCTTATACCTGGCCGTTAGTAAGTACGGTAAAACGTCACAGACATAAACACAACGGGAACCAACTTAGCAGCTGGACCAACTTACAAAGAATAAAATGAAGAGGTTTGACTTACCATCCATGGCTGCTGTTTCTTCTCCTCTGTCTTCTTGATCCTAAAACCCAAAAGACTTACCATCCATGGCTGCTGTTTCTTCTCCTCTGTCTTCTTGATCCTAAAACCCAAAAGGGTGACCGATGATACAGCGGCAAATCTACTTTTGGGTTCAAAATGATGACAACAAAATCAAAAACGAAAAGCAGAGCAACTCAATAAAGGTAAGTAAGAGAAGGGGTGGGAAGAAAACTTCAATATATCGCCATAACCCATAATACAGAATTATAGCTGCTCGGAATCTTTGGGTATTTCCAAAGTTACATCCCAAGTCCCACTATCTAGATGAAATCATGAAATTAACAACGCTGTTTGAAGACTCGCCGACGGTGATTAACTAGAATGACCGGCTCAAGTTCCTGGGCCAACTTGGCGGGAGTGCCTAAAAATCCCCACTTATCAGAATCCCTGAACCACGTGAAAGTGAAATTTCTGTGTCTAGATGGGCTCGAGCCGGGAAGCTACACTGTACTGGGATATGCCGGAAGATTAAGCTTATAGCTGCCCGGCGTGGAGGCTTCCGGCAGGGGATTTCTGCTTTAAAAAGGGGAAGTGTGAAGTTCTTGCTACTATTTATATACGTGGACTTCAAATTTTGGGTTTCATTGGGCTTTCTATAAGAACTTGTCCATAATGATACTCTCTCTTTTTTCCTTTTGTTTTTGTCAATTCTCGTGAACACCCCTAGTCAAAAAAAACTACCAAGTCTACCAAGTTATTATGTGTTGATTCTCTTTCTTTCATAGAAATTATTTAAATTATTAATTTAGTAATTATTTAATAATTCTCTAAATTAATAAATTTTAGTGGTCCTAACATTATTATTAATTTGTACAAATTCTTCTGTATACTCAAATGTCCATGAGTTAATCAATTTATAAGGTCTTATTTACAGTAACCCTACAGTACCAGCCTGTATGTTTAGGATCCAATTCCAAAATTTGCATAGCCTCTTGAAAGTTATTGATATAAATACATGCACTAAAATCATCAAAATTTGCATAGCCTCTTGATTTCCAGTAAGTCTAATGAAATATCTCTTTTTCCCTTAAAAAAAATCTTATATCATCAAGAAGTCACATAACAATATCATACTTTTAATTACAATGCAAACTATAAAGCATTAAAAAAAGTGGTGGAAATTAATGAAACTTTATGTATGAAAGAAAAATGAAAAAAGAAAAAGAAACTCTTTGATTTTTTTATTTTTTTTTTGGAATTTGAAAATGTAAACTACAACCCATATACTTGGAAGTATATTGAAATATGACAGTGAAAATAATGATTTTGTTTTTTTTTTTTTCTAATAATAACGGGCCTAACTTAAATGTAGAAAAAATATCTCTTACGATTGAACATGGGTCTATTTCGACCACTAATCTGTTATTAATTTCCACTTAAAAAAATTCAAGTTCCAATAACCTTCACACAAAAATGTAGAGCTGAATTCAATTTTATCAAAATCATAATGACCACTTGCAGACACCAATCATACTACAGGGAAAAGTAATAGAGCAAGTTCAATAATGCAGATATTCTAGCTTGACACAAGAATGAAGATAGTTCTTATTACTTGGTATCTGTAAGGCGACCGTGTAGACTCCATCTCTGCCGAAACCCTTCGATGCCTTCCACTCCACTAGCCAAAATCAAGCGCCTAAAATCCGTAAGTAACGGTTTGGTTACGGATTGAGGGCAAACCGGACCAATCCGGTCCGTGAACATCCCTAACCCCAGTAGTTTGTACAAATTTTAAAAATAATCCCTAAAATATATAAAAATAACAAAATTGTTCCTTTTCACTTTTTTATTTCATTTTCTCTATTTTGTTCCATTTCTCTCAACTACTTTTAATCACCATAAAAATATATTATATGAGTTTTTTAAAAAAAATATTTATTTATTTTCAAACTCTACCGTAAATTAATCTTTGTATTGTTGTAACCCATGATTGTATTTCTATAAGCATGTTAATTTTTTTAATAATATATTTTAGCAATAAAGACACTATTTTTCTGATTTATTTTATTTTTCCTAACGTAAAGATTAAAAACATTTAAATGACACTAATATTTCACATAATAAAATATTAGCTCAAATAAAAAATATTAATATATTTTAGTATAATAAAATTTAACTCAAGAGACTATAACTTGCATTAATATACTTCATAAAAAATAAATAAAATATAAAATAATTAAGACACTATTTTTCTGATTTATTTTATTCTTCCTAACATAAAGATTAAAAACATCTAAATGAAACTAATATTCCACATAAAAATAAAATATTAGCTCAAATAAAAAAATATTAAGATATTTTAGTGTATTACAATTTAACTCAAGAGACTATAACTTGCATTAATATAATTCATAATAAAATAACTAAAATATAAAATAATTAAAATCTTAAAACAAATCCTCCATACATAAGTTTTCCTTCTTGAATCTAAAACCTATTTTCTATCACAACATCTTATTATCATATTTTTACCTCCACTCATTTATTTTAAACTAAAATCATATAGAATAAGCTAGTAAGACTTCCTCTTAGTTAAATATATTAACATCTCAAATAATTATTACAAAATATTAAATCCTCGCATTGATAAGTATAAACATATTTTTTATAAATTATATTATGCCATGTAGTCTCTCTAGTTAAAGTGTAATACACCAAACTATACTGATATATTAATTTTTATTTTAGCTAATATTCTATTTTTATGTGGAATATTTTTTCTTTTAAATGTTTTTAATCTTTACGTTACGATGAACAAAATAAATAAAAAAAAATAGTATCTTTATTGCTAAACTATATTATTAAAAAAATTAACATGCTTATAGAAATACAATCATGGGTTACAACTATACAAATATTAACTTTTACAGTAGATTTTAGAAATAAATAATTTCTTTTTTAAAACTGATATAATATATTTTTATGGTCATTAAAAGTAGTTGAGAGAAATGGAACAAAATAGAGAAAATGAAATAAAAAAGTGAAAAGGGATTATTTTGTTATTTTTATATATTTTAGGGGTTATTTTAAAATTTTTACAAACTATTGGGGTGTTTTTGTATTTAAATTTATTATTTTATTAAAAATCTAACAGAAATCCGTTAATTTGGACGGAAAATAGCCCGATTGGACAAAATTAGCGAAAATTTCAAACATTAGGGTAAAGTTGACTGACCGAAAATCTATTGGGTATAATTGACGACGGGGGCAAAGTTTTGGGTAGGAACGACATTTTTTCCTTTTTCCAAATAAGGTTTCTTCTATAAACAGAAACTCAAACAAAAATAGGCCCACTAGACTACTTGCTAGATCAAGCATCAATTTTAATATATATAAAGGGGGAGTTTTGGAGGAGTTGGTCACCGGGCATGCACCTGTTTAGGTACGGTGCCCGGTCACTCCAGCACACGTGGCGCTGCACGGCCTTACCCAACACAGAATCCATTCAATGGAGACATTTGTGTAATTTGTAAAATTTTTCTTTTTCTTCTCAATCACTGGAGGGGGAAAAATTGTTGTAGCATCATTTTTTTTTTTTTCTTTTAATTCCTCCGACCGACAGGTTTCCATCGGCTGGCGATTATGGGATAGGATAATCAAAGGGAAGGAGGAGAAGGAAAATGTGAGAAGAACTGCCGGCGTTGGAAAATTAGGGGAAGGAGAAGTAGATAAAGAATGATTACCCTATCCCTTGATCTCCCCAAAGCAATTGCAGATTGTGATAAAGAATGGATGGAGGAAAAGAAGACACTGAAGGCAAGCCATAATAGATAGAGATGATAGAAAGATAGTTCGAATCAAATTTTTCTCCTCTTTGTTCTCGAGCTCAATTGGTAATTTTGATAGATTCTGGATTGATGAATCCGCCTTAGAATGAGGAGATTACAGCGGGAGAACAGACCTAGATGGATTGGACCCCGAAGAAGAGGAGAGGAAAACTACATCGTTTTGTACGCCTGTTTTTTTTGCCAAAATAGAAAAGGCCCGAAAAAGAAAAGGAGAGGGAAACTACGTCGTTTTGTACGCCTGCTTTTTTGCCAACATAGAAAAGAGAAAAGAATTGTATTTTGCAATTACAAATTTAACCCTCACTAAAATTGTGACCATCTAATAAAATTAGATCGTCATATTAAAACAACTCAACCAGAAAGATCGCTAAATAGAATTCAAGTTTTGTGCTCAAGAGACATTTACTTTTAACTTTTAGATATAAGAAAATCTAGAGTCACGTTACCATTTTTACAGAACCGTCTCGTTTTTTCTTCAACCAATTAATATTGAAGATATAAGATGCATTCAGAAGCCTCATTTTCTATATTATCAGGAAAAAGTGCATTTGCAAAGCCTGGGATGGTTTTCAGTACTTAATTTGGAAAACAAATGAAGTTACATGATCTTCTTTAATCCCAAGTACAACCCTAAGTTGAAAATTAATTAAACCAACCTCTGAATGATGCCTTGATATAGGGAAGGTAGCGGATTAGCTTCTAAATAAATAGTTTTGATGCATTTTATCAATTCTAAACCTCTAGGAATTTGGTAAGCTAAGGATTTAGCTGAGCAATCCTATATTGTTAAATTTTGATGTTAAACAGAATGGTCTAGTTTTAATTTAAAGTTGAAGCCTTCAAAAAAAAAAACAGAAGAAGTTGAAGGACTTTGTAGTTAGTAATTGAAATTGAATGCAGGGGAGGAGGATTAATATAGCAAACCGCGTTGAAAAATGGGATAGAGTTTTGGAGACTATTGGTGTTGAACTCCATCGGTTGACCACCCAAAAAAGAGACAAATTCAAGAACCCGTGAAGAAACAAATCAAATCAGAAATGCCATTCTGAATACTAGGAGTTTTAATCCAATCAAAACAACAAAACGAATCAAATTATAATACGAGAACTGACGCCAAAAACTTCTATGTGTATTTATTTACCAATCGAAATCCCCAAATCAAAAAACCCAAAATCAATCGAGCTTAACATTAGACTTACATTTATTTCTTGCAGT